GTGTCTACCACACCTCCCAGTTTGGTGTCATCAGCAAACTTGCTGAGGGTACATTCTAACTCTTCATCCAGGTCGTTGATGAAGAAGTTAAACAAGACTGGGCCCAGTACTGACCCCTGGGGGACACCACTTGTTACCAGCCTCCAACTAGACTCAGCGCCGCTGATGACAACCCTCTGAGTTCTGCCATTCAGCCAGTTCTCTATCCACTTCACCGACCACTCGTTTAAAGCCAGAATACATACCACAGAGAATTGTGTCACTGCTCTGTTGGGAAGTGGGAGAGCAGGGCTAGCTGTTAGTTGAAGGGCAGCTGGGTGCTCCCATGCTGGCACCCTGCTCCATTCGCACCAGTCCGGGTCCTTTGCTGCCTGTTCCGCAGGGACGATGCGGCGTGCCAACTGCTTGGAGAATGTTGCTGCTTACCACCCAGGCGAAGCCTTGCAGAACCCTTCCTCTCAAAATGCTCGTTATAGAACTCTGTCAGTAAATCCCGCAGTATCATGAAGTTTAGATTACTGTCTGTTTGTTGGAACTTGTTTGGTTTTCTTCTTTTGAAAACAAATCTCCATTCTCCTTTGTTTCTTCAGTTACAAAAGTCTGTAGAATGTCTGAGAAGAGGTGATCTACAGCGTTTTTGTGTCTATTGAGGCTTTGTGTCACTGTCACCGAAAATCCGGGAATAAAACCTTGTAACACCAATGTAGTGTTAAAAGGCAGGCATTCTTTATTGCGGCGCCGGATGCATGGGGGATAATTCCACCGAATGTGCATACCCCATACCTTTTCCGTATAGTTTATATAGATCAAAGTATACATATTTATTAGGTTATATAACTTATCCCTTTTATAGTAAAATTAGTTCATTTTCATACACTCCTCCCACCTGCACTTGCGCAGTGCCTCCTAGTGGTGGTCGTCGGGGGTCCCAAGATGAAGGCTCATCCTCTTCATCACAGCGTCTGCTGGTTGACCCCAGCTTCTGCACATGCACAGTCCTCTTCTGGCTTTTGTCCCGTAGTTAGGTCGCTGTAACTATGTCGCTGTAGCTAGGTCGCCTTGACTGGCTCTAGGTGACCGCTAACATTTCAGGTGGGAAACATGGGACTTTTTGTTTCAGTTAATTTAAACAATAGATAAAAACCACAAACACACCTGCAACCATAGTAATGCTATTCCTATTAAAAATCCCCCTTTACCGTTATTGTTTAATATTGATAATTACCTGGAAACCAAACTCTCTGTTGCTGGACCTAACGTCCAGATGGGCAGGGGCTATACAAGGGACATAACTAACAGCATGGTTTATGTTTATGGTTAACAGATTTCATCCCCTTGGTTACATCACTACTGTAAAACATCATCAGGAACTCACCATGTTAATAACCTGTTTGTAAAGCGAGGTACATCTTACAGAGTTCAGTATGTTTTACCATTGAGTTTCACATTTGATAGAAAATTTTAGCAGAAACTGAACTGCAGCAGTGGAGGGAATGAAGGCCGAAGTCTTTCCCAGGTGGTCTTACAAAGTTGTTGCTAATGTGGCGTAAATAGGCATACCCTATCAAGGACATTACGTTTTCCGTATGTTTGAGATACCCTCAAGGATTTTCACCCAAATTCCGTTTTGTAAGCAAAAGTGCATGCTTAGAATTTGGCAAGGTAGTTGTTTTTGTCTGAGTGTGGTGAAGGGGTAGATCTGTTTGTTACCACTGCAAAACCCAATAGTATACTCTACTGATGCTTGTAATAAACAGTGGTTGCAAATGTAGTCTCGTTACCTCTTTTGTGTTGTTTAAATTGCTGTGAGTCATTTTAAATAGAACGGAGAAGAAAAACAGGGTGCTTATTCAAGTGTCTGCTTTCATATGTGGTCTCTGGTACTTTTCTGGCAGGATCCTGGAAGAAGGAAGTGCCTTATAGTCAGTCATTGATAGCTTACTGTGACAGAGGTTTAATTTAGTTATAGTTTCTTTAGGATACTTGAGTCAGATGGTGGCTTGGAATCCAGAATCATGACTACTTCTCTTCTTGCTTTTGTTCCAGTTTAGACAGCCCAATTTTACAATATGTTTTTATCCTGTCTCCTATTTTTTTTTATTTATACATGCATATTACTTGTATTATCACAAGATGGTTTTCTAAAATTGCTACGAACTTCTCTTTTTGTGCATTGTTGTGCATACTCCCAGAATGTCCTTACTTCCCAGAAATCTGTTTCCGCTTTTACCACAGTCTTCTGAAAAGCACATCTTAGAGTGATATGCTTATAAAAATAAAAATCTGGATACAGCTATACTTAAAAAGAAAATTAGCTAAAAACTTCTTGTCATAGTCATCCTTTTGCAGCTGGGGAGACTTTCATGTACAAAAGGACATGTATGTTTATAGAATCATTTAGGTTGGAAAAGACCTTTAAAATCATGGAGCCCAACTGTGTTGTGAGCACCTATGATGCTGTCGTTTGCTTAAAATGTATCTAGCAGCCAGTACCTTTGAATTCTAAAGAAGAGATGTTTTTTGTTACTGACACAGCGGGGACTAGCTGGCAGCTACTACCATTGAGTGCCAGATTTGTCATTTGGCTCAGAATCCACACTTCATGAAATCTTCATCTATTACTTGTCGACAAAACATCAAAGAACATCAACATGAAAGAATTGGGTACTGCTTTGTGATTTTCCTTTTGCCTGCTTATTTCCTTTGGTATTGTTCAGGATACAGTGAATCTCTGTAACGAGAAAATGGACAAAATGGTTGACAAGCTTCTATTTAACTTGGGCTCAGTTTGCTGCTGTTCCAGAGCTTTGACATTACCAGAATAGTCAGGTTAACTGCAAGTCATGATGTAGTAGGATAAAGAAAAACTATATCCTTCTAAAAGGAGTCAGGTAGACTATGAAAACTGTTTCTAAATAGTATTCAAAAGACTGAGCTAGGCTGTCATAAGCTTTTGGTTAGTGTGTCTTGTCAACCATAGCATACACAGTGGTGTACCTAATAATAAATAAAACCATTATAGTGTTTACAAAATCCAACACTCAAAAGATCAGAGGTTTTTATGACTTAATTCAGAACTGCCTCTAATACTGTTCTTTATTGCTGCATTTTGCCGCGTCTCTACTTTTCTTCTTACCCTGCATTGCACAGTTTCATTTACCTTTCCCTCCTACAGCAAACACCTTCCCCTCCTGTAACAAATGAAGAAGTCCTGCAGACAGATCTTGTTGGTTGCACAGACCTGTTGCCTCAATACTTACCGTGGTTGAGCATTGGAGCCCTTAGATGCAGCCCACTGACCTTTTGGCAAAGTGATAAGCAGCTGAAAATAAAGTTCACCATGGGAATTGTCAATCAGCCTAGGTTTGGTGCTCTGAACTCTTCGTAATGTTTCAGAAATTATACTAAGTCAGCAATTGGCCTGGCAGTCTAGATTAAAAATAACTTCAAGCAAATTTAAAATATATGTGACTCTTGTCTAGGGGAGAAGCTAGTATTGAAGTTATTTGTGTTTGGGGGTTTTTAGGGTGGGTGGGTTTTTTTGTTGTTGGTTGGTTGGTTTTGTACATAATTGCCAGGTCGAGAGAAAGTTGGATGGATGGAGTGAAAATGCAATGAATCGAATAAAGATACTGAGTCTTGCTTTGTGTTAGCAACAAAGCTTGTAGTTCATGATTTTGTTAAAGAAACTCAGTTGCCATGTAGAAGGTACTGTGAATGTGACGTAAAGATGATGTATGTTATCTTGGAAGAGTTATTATTAGCTCTTGAGCTATTGCATTTTGAAAGGCAATTTGTGTGTATTGTTTATGACACAAGATAATAACAGAATAGTCAGAGTATTTAATTATGTATATTCATCATATGTAAAATTGAGAGATTTTAAACATGTCGAATAAAGACTAGTATTTTGAGAAGGTAAAATGGAAAATCTAGATGAAACAATGACAACTCACAATTTTAACTATAGATCTATCCTTCTAAAACTGGTATTTTGTTAAATGTTGCCAATGAAGTTTTTGAACGTGAATTTGAAACAGTAGCCAGCAAAATGGTTTGTAGGTGTTTAATTTTACAATGTGAGTAATCCTGGATATTTCAATTGGGCAATTCATCTGTCTAAAGTTAAATAGGTGTTGAAGTACTTTGCTGGTTCAGGGACTGGGTAAGTCAAAAGAAAAAGCTTTGTGCGTTTAGGCAGCAAACTAGGAAGAAGCTTTGTGCATGTCAAAAATATTTATTCCCTGGCAACAAAGAGGGGTTGAAAAGGAAATCTTTCGTAAAGGGGAAGAAAAATCTCAGCTGAAAAAAACCATCAAAATAGAAAGTAAAGTTAGTTCCTTGAGATAATTTATAGAATACCACCGTAACAGCTTAGTGCAAAATCGATAGAGTACACCGAATAATTTTTTTTTTTCCCCCGTGCATTATATGATGGCAGAACATGTTCCTCGTAAGCGGGAACATCATGGGAAGCACAAAACTACTTTGCTGAGCGTAAATGAGCAAGCAATCATGCAGTAGTATGCAAAGGTATTCCACTTTTTAACCCGCTTAAATATTAACTTCTTCCAAAGTCTTGGTTAAAAGATATATGAAGCCATGTTTCTTTGTGTTTTGAATTAATATGCTCTCTTATTTTTGCATTTCGTCTGTGACTTTTTAAAATTTCATTTTATGGTCATATTAACTGCACTAAGTGTAGATCTAGCTACATGAGATACTCTCTTTTTCCTTTCCATTTTCTTTACTTAAAAGTGATAAAGTGCCTCGTATTTGCTGGAAATGACCTGGAGTACAATCTATGTAGTATGTTAAATGCAGGGTGATTAGGAGAGAATGTTTTACGGCCAAACTTTCTGGGCAGTAAAAGCCTGGATAGTCACGTTCAATTTTGAAGCAAGTTTCTTCTTCCTACTCTACTGCAGAATTACCATGTAAATTTCAGAATTGTGACTGCAGGACAGATTAGCTGATCCAATGCTGTGTCTCCTGAGAGCAGAGGTTAAGGGAGCCAATGCAGTGACAGTCCTCAGTATCTCAAGCTTAAGTGGAGACGCCTCATCGATCCCCATTGTTGCGCTGGTAGGACTCAGACTGCTCGAATGGTGGAGTGTGAAGGGAACAGGAAAGGCAGGGTTACCGTGAAATTAGTCTTCTGTGTTCTCGCAGCTGTGTACCTCAGTCTTGTTTTTACGGCATTGTTCAAAGTAAGTGTAATACATAATGTGCAGTCAGTGCAGTGCTTAAATGCAGGGATGCCAGATGCCAACAAATGGTCTGTTTGTTCTTTTTTCACTGAATTAGTCTTAAAACCTTAGTCAGAAGCAAGGCTGTCACTTCTGAACATATTTAAAGCATTTTCTGCACAGTTAGATAGTGGAGTTATTTTGTGATCTTAATTCATGGTTATGGTGTTTCTTCTTCCTAGCTACAGGGTTTTTTATAGTATGTGTATTTTTTTGTAACAGTATAGTATATG